TCTAACCCTTAAAGGGAAAGTTCGCCCAAAAATGAAAATTAGCTGTTAATTTTCTCACCCTCAGGCCATCCAAGATGTAGGTGAGTTCCGTAGAACAGTAAAGAAGATTTTTAGCTGTGGTCCTTTGTGATTCATAAAATTCAAGTCAGAGGCTACTGTCACTTTGAGAATCCCTGTTGCTCCTGACGATATATTGAGGTCTTATGAAGCGAAACGATCAGTCTGTGCAAGAAACTGAATATTGTTTACAACATTTTTTTTTTTGGACAGTTTGTTGTAATGGACTGATTCAAATAATTGATTCGCCAGTTTGATTTTGTAATCATGATGTAACATTTACACAATTATGTTATTAAAGCACCCAATAATGATGTGAAAAGTGGATGTTTTGCAGGTCTGAAACATATAAAGTGAATAAACGCATGCTCATATCAGCGGCTCATCAGTCTTCGGTCCGAGTCGAACTGTTTTCTCAGTTCAGTGACTGTTGGAGGAACTGGAGCGCTGAATGAGTTCATTCATCACAGGATCAGATGCACAGATATTTTGGCTCATTTCTAGTCGGAGTGACTGTCAGGCGGCTGAAAGTGAGTTTTGATTGAGTAACTTGTAGAGCTGAGCTGCACGAGACGTGAACTGATTCAGACGATTCAGTACGATTCGGTGAACTGAGTTCACACTGCATGATTTTTTTAAAGTCATCGGATCACCGTTGTTTTCACACTGCACGACTATCTGCGGTAGCATTCAGTTGCTGCTGTGTTCACACTGCACAATGGATTGGCGACAGGAGGTTACACACTGCATGACTTCACAATAGGAAGAATCGCCGACAACTTTGTCTGCTCCGCAAACTACATTTCACAGCCAAACACACGCGAGAAGTGATAAGGAAATAACTCCTCCCTGAACTTCTCGCTGCCCTGTATCTTGTTCTCTCATTGGCTGTAGGTCATCGTCAATGTATTTTTCAGTCAGAACTCATTTCACACATCAGGATTTTAAATCGCCAACAGGTCCAGATATATAGCAAGGCAAATACTTCACGGTCGTCTGCGATTCTCTCAGATCGCGCCTTTGATAATTCACACTGCGTGATTGTCACTCGTGTGAATGAGTACCGATTTGCCTCCGATTTCACGCATTTGTCAGCGATTTTGCAAAATCTGTGGGCAAGTGAAAATCGGGGCTAAAATCATGCAGTGTGAACTCGCCATAAAAAGAACCAGTTCAACCAGTTTCGCAAACCAGACATCACTCCGGACCGTTTGCCTGAGGCTCTGGATCACAGGTAATAATGTTGTAAATAATATTCAGTTTCTTGCACAGACTGATCGTTTCACTTCATAAGACCTCAATATATCGTCAGGAGCCACGGGTATTAATTTTGTGTTCCTTGAAATGCTTTTTTTGACTCTCATGAGCCGGTAGCTGCTAACTTGCATTTTATGAATCACCAAGGACCACGGTTTCAGCTAAAAATCTTCTTTAATGTTCTACTGAAGAAAAAATGTCACCTACATCTTGGATGGCCTGAGGACGAGTAAATTAACAGCAAATTTTTTAACATTTTGGGTGAAAATAGTAGAATTTAAATTTATACATAACTTACATTTGAGAAAAAAGTACACTGTCAAAGAATGAAATGTTCATTTCAGTGAAAGTAATTTACTGTGTGACATTTTTTCCTAAGCGTATTTGTTTCTAACAAAGATTTTAATTTCATTAAAGCCACACACTGCGAATCGTTCTGGTCTCATCTTTTATTGTAAAACTGGAAGAAATATATATCCCAGGCAACACTATATTTATATTATACAATAAAGGTATCTATACAACCAATGCTAATAAATCACTTGGGTGTATCCGGATCTCAGGAATCTGTTGGAGAATTTTTTTGTTTGTTACAGGTTAACACATACTTAGTCTACTAAAATTATGACCATGAAATTTCAACTTTGTTCTACATCCCATGAAGCACATCTGTGAATTAAGTAAAGCCACTATCTTTCTGAAAAGTGTAACATTTCACAATTTTATAACGTATTAAATCAAATTAACATAACACACACACGCACACAAACGAACAGAACATGGTGCTGCTTGACCACGAGACAAGCTGAGAACTAGACGAGATATTTGCTGGTGTGGTCAGTTACACTACAAGAAAAGACAAAAATCAATCAATCGTCAAAAAAGTAGCAATTGCTGCCATTACTCAATATTTCAACAGTTATTGCCTTAATGCTGAAAAATGTGTTGCATAGAGATATACTGTAGATTAACCAGCACAAAGACAGCTAAAGACTGTTAAAGATTATTTCAAATAAACAAATACACACAGGTAAATAAATCATTTCTCGTTGTTGAGTTTAGGCCCTTGGCATTTTGTCATGATTGAAATGTAAGTGTTCGAAAGAGTGTTTGGTGTAATATTCATGTGAATTTAATGCGAATAAGTGGTGCTAACTTACACACTTAAGGACCAGGTTTTATTCACCATACACAATGTACTTTGGCAGAAACAAATCTTACACATACACAGAATTAGGCAATAAAAGCCGGCATGAGGGTGTATGTCAGAACAAATACACCAACATCATGACAGCTATACTATTAATCATTTAAAAATGCACTCAGTTAAGCAAAATATCGGGAATAAATCAGATAAATAAATAAATAATCTAAATGAAGAATTAAAAATGAACAAATAAAGCCTTTGGTTCTTGGCCTGTTGATTAGCAACCGCAAACGGCTACAGCACTTCATGTGCCTCAAGTTTGCCAGCAGTTCAGGTAAACACAATAATACATGTTTTAATGACGCACATAAACAGAGATTGAGGTGTTGAACAAGTCTATAACAAACTGAAAAAAACAAATGTACATGACGAGGACAAGAACAGGCTGAAACAGTCTGGGGACAATAGAGTATAATGAAGACAAATGGATGTGGACTTAAATGTGACTCAATGAGGCACAAGATGCTTGGTTTCTGCCTCATTGGCAAAAGTCAGGCTGGCATTTCAGTGCTAAAAAGAACTGAACAAATAATACACGCGCACACACACATACACATACACGCATAATGCAGACATTGTAAAAGAACAGCATATTATGTGCAGGACATACTGTATTATTGTACAAAATGTGTGCAGCTAGTTTAGTCTTGAACAAACAACAGATTTATGTGACATGATTTTGAAACCACTTTTAATGTAGATAATTTTTTCCCGCAACAAACTTAAAATCTTTTTCATTAATTTCCTCCAAAAATCGGACACACACTGCTTTGCGTAAACAATGGCTGGGACTAAATCCAGCTTTCTGGCTCAGTCCTTAAAGGGAAGTTCACCCCAAAATTTAAATTTGCTGTTAATTTACTCGCCCTCAGGCCATCCAAGATGTAAGTGACTTTTTTTCTTCAGTAGAACAGTAAAGAAGATTTTTAGCTGAAACTGAGGTTCTTGGTGATTCATAAAATGCAAGTCAGCGGCTACCGGCACTTAAGAGTAAAAAAATAACACAAAATTAATACCCGTGGCTCCTGATGATATATTGAGAAGTTTTTATTCAGTACGATTTGGTGAACTGGTTCTAGTTGCCTGAGTCTGGATTACAGGTAATAATGTTGTAAATAATGTTCAGTTTCTTGCACAGACTGATCATTTTGCTTCATAAGACCTCAATATATCGTCAAGTGCCACGGGGATTCATTTTGTGCTCCTTGATATGCTTTTTTTATTGAAGTGCTGGTAATGCTGACTTGCATATTATGAATCACAAAGGACCACAATTTCAGATAAAAATCTTAATGTTCTACTGAAGAAAAAAGTCACCTACACGTTGGATGGCCTGAGGATGAGTACATTAACAGCAAATTTTAATTTCTGGGTGAACTATCCCTTTAAAAGCCAGACATACAGGACACAAACTCAAATCGCTCTATGGTTAATATACTGTATGCAGGGCACATTTATTCAGTGATTGTTAGCCCACTGAGTTTAACTAGATTTGTTTGAGCCTTAAATTGATCGTATCTGTGTCCAGTTTAATGTTCATTGAGGTCTAACCATCTGGCTTTCTAAAGTAATATTGTAGTCATGCATATCTGACTGAGCTTGAAAGCACATTGAAATGCCAATTTAACCATTTGGTCTCAAACAGGGCGATTTAAAGCTGTGCTTGCGGTCGTCTCAGTAGTGATGATAGTGTGTTCAGTGCAACAGTGCACTAATTTGGTTCATGTGTGTCGAATGTACTGAATGTTTTCTGTTGCCTTTTAAAAATCTGATGCACCAGATGAGTTTTTATTTAGCACAGTGGAACTCTATTTTTATTTAACAAGAATATACTTTTCTTTCATTGTTGTTTGCTATTCTATTCTCAGGGCTGTGTGTTTGAATGTAATACATCAATGTAGGAATACTTTAATGAAATTAAAGTTTGTGCTCAGACAGAATTGATGCAAAAAAGCCAAAAGAAGATCCACACACACTTTTTTTTCTTCCATGGCAGGTGTTTCCATTGACGTTTATTGCTTTTAAACTGAACTAATGATATTTTCTATCTCCTAAGCCTTTACACAAACCTCTGCATTTTGACATTTTCATTAAGACATAATGTAGTGTTTGTTAAACAATTTTCCTGCTCCACACAGTTTTTTTATCCTTGTGGGGACATTTGATTAAAACCTGACCAATGCACGCACTAACCGAAATCCTACTTCTAAAAGAAATGATTTAAATAAAAAACAAAGATGTAATGTAGGATTTGTCCTATATGATGTCCCCAAAGGGAGGTCAGCTTTAGCAAACATTTGGGGACGACTGTGTACCCAAAATGTAGCTCCACAAAAATGCAAACACACACACAGCTCTGAGGACGACAGAAAGTACTCACTTCATTACAAAAAGGAAAATGGAAAAATGTTACTGTAATGTGTTTATTATAATGAAGTGTTGTATAATAACTGTAAAACAAAAGCTGTTGAATTGTGTGATCAGAAACACTGGGACGAAGCAAACAACACAGTTTTCTACATTGACAAAAATGAGACATGACGCTGATGTGGACACATTTCCTGCAGTGACTATAGTGAACACACTGAGAAAAAAAGAAAAACACTCAAACTTTAAAAAGCATTGTGCATAGTTCAGTCATCACCTAACCTGTCTGCTGCTTAACGCTATTTCTGCTAACAAGGAAGTGCAAAAAATCATCAAATTAGTTCACTGTTGCACTGAAGGGTGTCTTCGTTCGTTCCCTTGTTGGATAAGGTTTCTTGTCATTGACTGTGTGTGTATGTGTGTGTACCTATACAGAAACCCGCATGTGTTCATTTAACTCACTACTAGGATCGAGTCCATTCGCATCCCTTAAAGGTTTTCCCAAGCTTTGGCCGAGTCGGCCGACGCAATCCTCTGCAGAACCGTCCCGCGGTACGCCGCTCATACCTCGCCCACCCAGACCACTGTGTTCCCTCTCTTGACGTCTGACACCTCACAGTGAGGGCCGCTCTGTTTGCCGTCCAGAACGAACAGGGACTCGGCCGCTGACGTGACCAAGTAGTGTCCAAACACCCCGCTGGAGACCACCACCCTATTGGCGTCTCCCCAAGGCCAGCTAGTGGCCGGGATTGGATCCTTGACGTTCTCCAGGGCTTTCGTTCTTCCCGATGCCAGGTCCGAGAAAACTAGCTTCGAGCCCTGGGCCGAAGAGGCCACGACCACGTACTGGTTTGCCTCCGTGAAGGACGGCTGAAACTCCAAGTCTGCGAGGGGAATCGAGACGTCCGCTTCGTGGCCGGTCCGCAACTCACCGCTGAAGGAGATGGTCTGGACTTGGAGCTTTCCGTGTCGCTTGTCCACGGAGACGACGAAGCGGCCATCTGGAGAGATGAACGGCTGGCCGTTGATGTTGGGATTGGGTCCAATGACCGCGTCGCTTACGCTGTCGATGAGAAGCTGTGAGCTCGGGGCCGAACGGTCCTCGACTTGGCACTCGATAAAATAGTAGCCGCTTAAATGAGTGTAGGCCATGCTGGCTGGGATACAGCTGTAGTTCTTCAGACTGATGGTCTTGACGAGACGGAGGGTCTCAAGGTCGATTTTATGCACCGCAGGCTCCGATTTTAAGTAGACAAAGCCAAACCTGAGATGACAATGGCCAAAGACAGGTTAATGATCTTTCTGCAGATTTATTAAGTGTTGCGCTTTTAATTACAACCGTCATTTGCTCGCTTCCCATTTTTGGAAGAATTATGTGGAAAATCTGACAGAGGTCATGCACGCTGAGCAGTGACGATCGTTTCGTACCTTACGTGGGTGATAATGAGGTTGGTGGGAGGGATGTAGAAGTCCTCCACTCTTTCAAATGGAGTACGGATGATCTGACGCTGCTCCACCGCGCTGGCAGAAGCGATCACCTTAAAAAATGGAAAAGAGTGAAAAGAACATTACAACCGGGGCCAATGGCCGGTGACTTCAGAAAATAAACCGGCTATGAAACTGCATGTGTAATTTTTCATTAAAAACAGGCAGAAAAAATTGGGAAAACTTAATTAAAATCATTGCAATTTGTATTATTATTGTTATTATTATTATTATTATCATTATTATTATTATTAACCTCCGGGCCCGACAAATTGCCCGTGCCCCGGTCAATTACTCGCATTCGAAATGAGTCGAATATTATCAAGCTGTTTATTTGTGGTGTGAATCCATATCCCCTGCAGCCGATTATGCAGCTTCCCTCTAAAAGTGCTCTTTAGCATTTCTGAGTGATTCATAGCGAACGCCTTCATTATTCTGTGCGGCTCTGTGGGCATGCTGAACAAGCAAACACACCTGAGGACTTTCCCGCTATTTAATAAAACATGAATTATTCATGTGTATGGGGGCTGGAATTACACATTGTTTGTTAAATAGAAAGCCTTTCATTTGCTCTGTTTTTGAGGCTGTGTGTTTTTCAGACGTGTGCGCTGACATACGAGGACAGCCGAGATCAAACCTGGCAAAGAATAAAGCGGGAACTGGGCAAATTTTCTTCATGCCACAGAAAGCGTCTTATTCGCCTGCAGCTCGAGTCAGGAGCCCTACCTGACAGCGAACTGCACTGAAAAAGTGTAGAATCTATTTTCATTCAGAAACCGCTAGTAAACTGCTGTGTAAACAACTGCAAAGAAACCTCACATAACACTGAATTAAATGTGAAATTGTGAAGTAGAAAAACTGAAATTGTATTTTCTTGTAAAACATACTCAACTCAACATACATCTTTGTTTACAAAGATAAAAAAAATCTTTTTTTTTTACAGTGTGAAATTAATCTTCATAATGCATTCAAAATATGTATACTATTTTCAACATTTCAGGTCCATTTGGACCCAAACAATCTTTATTTTATAAAACAGTCATAACTTAAGATTCAAAGATTAATAAAGATCATTGTATCCAATCAGCAGCTTCTCATTAATGAGTGAAAGTGAAGGTTACCATGATATTACTGCATTTATCCCCTTTTTTTAATAATTAAAAAGTAATGAAATAAAAACTGATGCTCTCTCTCTCTCTCTCTCTCTCTCTCTCTATATATATATACTATTAATGAGAAATGTTAGTTGAATATATCATTGTATGAAGGAACATATAATCTGAGATTTACCAGTATTAACTCCATAGGAATGAATGGAATTTAATTTAATTCCTTTGAACTCATAACTCATGATTGCTCAAAAACAGTCCAAATTCATGAGACCTACATTTATTTCTAACAAAACAAGATCGTAACAACCTAAATATTACAGTAAAAAGTTTTCAAACAAAACAAATTCATTTTACTTGCATACACTTTTTTACTTTCAGATGGAAAAAGTGATCGGTTTTTCATGCTGCAATGGTTCATCAATATAGTCGTACATATTCATGCTTATCAGAAACATGAACAAACACACATTTGGCACTGAATTTTTTGGGGAGGTTTGGGGAAACGGCTAAATATATTTTACAAATTTGTTTAACACTAATATAACTTCATAGATAATTTTACGAAAATATTTTTGACACCAAATGGTACTCCATACCCAGTCAAAATGACATAACATTTTGGTTATATATCCTAAATAATTATTGCAAAAAATGTGGGGGAAAAAAACAAACAAACAAAAGAGTATATTGAGGGTTTTACAAACAAATAAACAAAAAAGTATATTGAGGGTCTTAAAGCATTTGCAAAGTTTTGTTCCATTACTAAAAACTAAGCATTTTTAGACATTTTTATGTATCTCTTTTAGGTCAAAACGGACCTGAATGTGTTATACAGACTGTTAGCAGATAAACGGCCTCTCATAACCCCAATGAATGCGTGAAGAATATGTGAGTGCTCTAATTTGCTTGAGAGTCTTTAGGAACTAACTGGATGAATCATAATTCAGCCCAAAACTAGAAACAATATTTTCCATGTAGACAGTGCAGGCTTTGTGAGTGTCACCTGCAGTGTAGAGCGGGACTTCTGCAGGTCTCTCCAGCTCAACAGCCACAGCTGATCATGAGATTTGTCGTAGAAGAGTTTGACGGGCATGGCGTCCGTTTCCACAGCCTGTCATTCCAACACAAGAGGGGAAATTCATCCAGTTTTGCTTGTCAAGAGCGACTGTTATGAGTGAAACACTTTCAGAATGAATGTAAGCTCCAAATGAAGCCAGAGCAGAGCCAACCGTTGAGTCTCTGAGTAAACACGAGTGATGTTTCCTTCATCAACTGATTTTTAAACCAATTTCATTGTCGAAGCAAAAACAGACCAGCAAAACTGTGTAAATGTAAGCTACTCAGTATTCGTTTCTTGCTCATTGATCTGTGTGAAACAGCACATTCGCAGTCTGAAATGCTCTGAATATCAGTCATGTGATTTACCGTGGCCTTGTGATCCACAGCCATCGATACTGAGAAACTTACAGTACTGTTTGATTCATGAATGAAAAAGCTCTCACCCATCATTAAATATGACTTAGCACTGGTTGTTATATTTCTAGTTTTCAAGTATTGATTACCGAGTAGACAAACCTTGTAATATTTCTACATAGATTTGAAAAATGTCAGAACATGGCAGAGTTATTTTAGTATTATTGAGATACTATTGTAGTTTTTATTATTATTTTGAATCAGTTTTTATTTTAATATTTTCAATTTTGATCTGAATTTTAGTTTTAGTAACTTCATCTTAATTTAAGTTTCAGTGAGTTTTTTTCATTTTGATAAACTAGTTAGGTCAAAAGTAATCTAAAAACAATCAAAAAGGAGTCTGATTATATTACATAAATGTGTAATGTACTGTAATGGATTACATTACTGACTACAATTTTTGTCATGTAATCTGGAATCGGTAACAGACTACAGTTTGTAAGTGATCGACCCAGCACTGATGACGGCTATTGAGAACTCTAATGAGATATGAGAGTTGAGTTTGGCTGAAGACGGACGCGTCCTCACCTGCACGACTCTCTGAGCCTGTGTGTCGATCAGCAGCAGTCTGTTCTGAAGCGGCTGAGACACGTACACGTACTTGTCCCTCACGCTGACCGCTGACGCCCATACACACTCCGTGCTTCTGGGACACAGTTCGTCCTGCAGGGAAAATATGGACACGCGCTTGAACCAATGTTTTTGTCTGTGCACTTGCAAAATAAAGGTTCTTTATTGGCGTTAATGGTTCCATGAAGAACCTTTAACATCCATGGAACATGGCCACTGCACAAAAGGTTCTTTATAGTACAAAAAGTCCCTTTAGATTATTAAAATGAGCTTCACACTAAAAAGAAATGGTTCTTTTAGGAACTGTTCACTGGAAGGTTCTTTGGGGACCAAAAATGGTTCTTCTATGGCATCACTGCGAAAACCCACTTTTGAGACCTTTGTTTTTAAGAATGTCAAAACATGTTCACCTTCAAATGAAAAGAACCGAATAAGAAATTATGTTTTGCACCTATTTGTGATTATTAAACAATTTCTTTTCTTATTTAACTACTTTATGACAATAATATTGTTTAAACAAAGCATCTGGATGTAGATACACTACCATTTTTTTTCTCTTTTGCTCTCCAAAGCTGCATTTATTTGATAAAAAATGACTGTATAAACAGTAATATTGTGAAATATTATTACAATTCAAAATAACTGTTTTCTATGTGAATATCTGTTAAAATGTAATTAATTTCTGTGATCAAAGCTGTATTTTCAGCATCATTACTCCAGTCTTCAGTCTCAGATGATCCTTCAGAAATCATTCTAATATGAAACATTCAGAAATCATTCTAATATGAAACATTTCTGATTATTATCAATGGTGAAAATAGTTGTGCTGCTTCATATTTTTTTTTGAAATCGTGATACATTCTATTTTTCACGATTCACGGATGAATAGAAAGTTCAAAAGAACAGCATTTAATTTGAAATTGAAATCTTTTGTAACATTATAAATGTCTTTGCTGTCCCTTTTGATCAATTTAAAATGAATAAAAGTATTAATTTATTTTAAAAAATCAACAACATTGTACTGAAAGCCATATAATGCATTATAATTTTTTTAATGCATTATGCCTTAAAATGCATTGTATGATCTCATTAATAATTATGACTACAGTTATACATTATAATACTTACCTATTCATTGTTGCACCTTTAGAAAGTATTATACATTAAAACACATGACAAACAAACCTTCAAATGCATTGCAATAATGCATTGAAACTGCATTAACAATTAATTATGAAAAGATAATGCATTACAATATACATTATAAACACTTTTATAATGCATTATACATAAAGGCTTTAAGTAAAGTGTCACCAAAAAATCTGACTAATCTTTATTTTTTGAACAGTAGTATATTATACTAATGATAATGTTTTGTTTTTGCAGCAATAGGAGCTTTGGGGGTTGAAGAATGTGAAAATAATCTTAACAAACAGTCCTAAAAAATTCAAGCTTCACTGGCATTAAGCATAATAAATACTCCTATTACAGTCTTTTATTTGGGTTTGAGCCAGCACTTACATAACTACCCAGAATCCTCTCTGTCCGCGGGATGCGTCTGCGAATCTCACAGTTGCCGGGCTGCAGTACGGTGATCCCTTCGCTGGAGAACACATAGAACATGTTCCCCACACTGAGCCCTGCAAGCACACACAACATCGCACACGCCATTACATGCACACTCTTCCCTCAGAGAGAACAACAGCGAACGGCGTGCCACGGCGTCAAACAATGCAGCTGTCATACGGTCAGACAGCAGAGACTATTAAAATCTCCTGAAACCTCTCCAAAAAGTGCATTTGCAGGTCTGTCACCTGGCAGCAAACAACAGCTGCTAATTAGCGTGGTCACATCAGAGGAGCGGCAGCACAGAGATGTCATGCTGTCAGGAAGCAGAAGGTGTAAAAACACACAGTTGCAGGTAAGCTGCATGTGATCAGTGCTGGCGGTCATCTCCATCAGTCGAGATGGTGGATGACTGCTCCTAATGATCATCCGCAGGCACTGATTTGTGTAGAAGCCCGTTTCTGCCACTAAAGTAAAAATCAAAAAGGTAATTGAGACTTTTTATCTGACAATTCTGACTTTTTTTTCTTGCTATTACAGGTTATATCTAGCAATTCTGACTTCTTTTCTCAGAATTGTGAGATATAATCTCGCAAATGAGATTAAAAGTCCAATTCTGAGGAAAAAAGACTGACTTTCTGAAAAATAAAGTCAGAATCGCGAGTTTATATTTTGAGATATAAACTCGCAATTGTAAGATAATATAACTCTTTTTTTCCCCCTCAGAATTTGACTCTATAACACAATTCTGAGAAAAAGTCACAATTGAGAGAAAAAAGGTCAGAATAAAAGTCCAGTCCAGAGTTTATATCTCGCAATTCTGACTTAATAACTCGCAATTGTGACTTTATATCATGCAATTCTGAGAAAAACAATTGCAAGTTACAATTGCAAATTGCAAACTACAATTGCAAGTTTTTATCTGGCAATTCTTAGGTTATAACCATAGACTGTATAAAAACATGGACGTAGTGTCCATGATGTCACCCGTAGATTTCCGAAGAGCGTTTTTGAAGCTCAAAGTGGGCGGAGGCGGCCGTCGCCATTTTGGTTATAACACACAATTGCAACTTTATATCCCACAATTCTGACTTTACAAATTATAACAATTATAACTTCTAGCTTTATAACAATTGCGAGTTTACCCAGAGGATAGAAAAATCAAAAGACCCTTCTTTTTTTTCTCAAATATTTCTCAAGTCTCATTTGTGTCTACTTCTATTTCTCCTAAGGAATTTTAGGAGAAACATCTGTTGATACTAAAATGAGAGATATACTGTATATGAGAATCTCATCCAAGTCTCCTGAGCTTAGGAATAGCCACCACTGAGCAATACATTTTTCCTCGGGGTATATCTCACAATTTTGAAAAATAAAGTCTGATTTGCGGGTTTATATCACACAATTCTGAGAAATAAAGTCAGAATTTCAAGATGCAAACTTGCAATTGTGAGAAAATCGTAATTACCTCTTTTTTTATTTTAAGTCAGTGGCAGAAACGGCCTTCCATACAATTGCATCACATATGACTTTATGACTCACAATTGTGGATGAATTCTGAGAAAAAAAGTCAAAATTGCGAGATGTAAAAGTTAGAATTATGAGATAAAAAGTTGCAGTTACCTTTTGTATCTTTTATTCAGTGGCGGTAACGGGCTTCGAGGGGGCATGCACTGTAGAAGTGTGTATAATTCGTATAAAAAAGTAAGCATGTTGCTGAACGTCGGGGTGTGAGCAGGTTGTAATCGCTGCAAAAAATGTAAAACTGTCATGAGACTGTGTTGTGAATACTGTGTAAGACTTGAATTTTAATATCTAAACAGCTTAAGCTGGAGACTAATCAAATGTCACACATAGGCTAAAACAGGGCTAAAGCTGCATCGGGGTCAAACACGGATTTGTGTAGCAAACAAGAGTCAATAAAATTAGCAATTTTGAGACAGGGGTCTTGTTGTTGATTTTCAGTTTTGTTCAAGATTAAATCAAGAGTTATTCAATAATGGAAGAATATGTAAAAGTGTGGTATTTGGGGTAAAAAGCACCTCTGCTGTTGGGGCCAAAGGCACAATAATTTACATGATAATAATCAGATGCCTGACTTTTTTATTTGTTGGTTGGATTCAGACAGGGTTATTACAGTTAGCATAAAAAAACAAAAGGAAAACTTGAAATCGCATCATATGACCCCTTTAAAACTTAAAATGAATGTTAACTGATATTGAACAAAAAAATTTACACATTTTATTTCAGCAGTTTAACAATTTACTTTAACTTGATGCACTAAAATGACTACAATTAAAACTGAATTAATTATTAAATTAATAAAATATATGTAAACATTTAAAAACATCAAACACTTATAAAAATGATAAAATGCACAATAAAATTAGTAAAACTTTAACTAAAATTAGCATGAAAGCAGAAAAAAAGCTAATTGAAAATATTGACAAAAATATAATAGTATCTCAATGATACTAAAATAATACTGGATTCAGATGGTTAATGCCATTTATTAAATTAGTGTCCACCTTAGAGACAATCACCATATTTATAATGAAACCATCATATTTAAAACTAATTGATCATAAAACCTATTTATTGTTACTACTGTAAAGCCATATAAAATTAAGAGATTTCCCTCAAGCAGTGTAAGAAGCTTTCAGAATCTTTACTTTTTAAAATATTTTTCTTCATAAATTAACTGAAAATATTCTGTAAAATATACAGAAAACGGTAAACTTTGCTGAAGTGATTGTTTTGAATGAGATGTTATGCAAAACATATCCCCCTCACCACCTCAGACATTTATAAGATTTTAAACAAAACAAACCAGTTTTAAAATGTACTTTAACTCAAAATGTGTTGTTCCATCAATGACTTGTACAAATGAAGTTTTTAGCAAGCATATTACTAATCAAAAAATTAAGTTTTGATATATTTACAGTAGTAAATGTACACAATATCTTCATGGAACATGATCTTTACTTAATATCCTAATGATTTTTGGAATAAAAGAAAAATCAATAATTTTGACCCATACAATGTATTTTTGGCTATTGCTACAAATATACCCCAGCGACTTAAGACTGCTTTTGTGCTCCAGGGTCACATATGGCCTATATTTTTAGAAACCCTTCTGTATGCACAAGACACACTGAGTGATTAGTCATACAAGACAGAGTGTAACATAAACCACCATTATGACGTGACATGTGATGATCAAAGCAAACATGTGAGATTTCTTTGATAACTGGGTTCCTGCAGGTGTGCTATAATAAAGTCATGAGCTTCTGTGCATTCTAGTGCCTTTACTGTTACATTAATGCATGCTTCAAATATGCCTGGATTTCTTTCAGCAAGAAATTTAGTTCACACAAAGTTATCAAAGTGTCTCTCAAAATGTTTGTTATAGTTTTTGCAACATGAACATTAATCAGACAGATAATCGGACACGAGTATCAAGCAGATTTACCTTCCTCCCTCCAGAGAATGTTGGCCACTAGATGGACAGCATGAGGAAACACAGAGGATAGTTAGTGAACAGCAGAGAAACACACTGATGAGACTGACTTCACTCTGGACGTTTACAGTATGTGTAACTGTAATAAGAGTGATTTCACATTAATACGATCCCCTGGAAAGCCTAAAGAATTAGTCATATTAGAAATAATGTCCATGGAGGTGGCGATGGGCTGCTGGAGGGATTCAATTTGTGATTTGGCTTAGTGCAATTATGAAATCGCAAAGGCTGATATTTTTTTGCGAAGCACGTTTCATGAAATGCAGCAATGTGATCAGAGAGGCTTGATCGCTTCGGCTTCAACAAAAGAGAATATTTAATAACCGTTTCATGCCAAACTCACTGTATAATGTCCATTTGTGATCCGATGTGGCTTCATATCAATGAGACAGAAAATATATCATTTTATAGTATACTATATTGTAATAAATATTATGTTAATGAGCTATGCATTATAAATATACTTTATTCTTATAGAAGAACACAGGAAAAATCATATATTGTTGCATTGCTGTTATGTTTTTCTTCATTGTACAGAAGTTTACAGAGGTTTTTTTTTTCAGAGGATGCATACAGTAAGAGTCTCATATTTCACATTAAACGCATGGATTCCATTTTTGATTTTGCATACCTCCTGACACAAATTAAGACATTGCTGTCACAGATTTTTATCATAATATTTTATAATAAAACCTTATGCCGGGTTCAGACTACACAATATTTTTGTCGGTCACGATAGTCACTGTGTCAGATTAAAATTTTATACTAAACTTTAATAAGGCAGACGCGGAATCGGTTGTCGTCCACTACGACACACTACACGTGCTGAAACGATGGAATCTTGCGTCCCGACGCCCATTGTCGTTTACGAATCCCCACGACACCCTACGTCAAGCAAATCGTGGCAAAATCGGGCTAAAATCGTGTAGTCTGAACCGGGCATTAGACCTTTCTAATGATTTATAGTTGTAGGCCGCGAGCATGGTAACAGGTCACCCTGCAGTTTTCGTAAAATAATAGTTTTCCGCAAAATAAATTATTATTATTATTATTATTTTATAAGTTGTTACGATAGTAATTTTTCTTATTTTAATATTTTTATGTAGTAATTCTAATAATCATAATAATTATTATTAATCATATTGATATATAAAGTTTGAGCCAAATTGTGCAGCACTACATACAAGAACAAAAAATTGCATTTTAAACGCAATCATAATATTTAACCAGTAAATCGCAATTGGATTTCCCCCCCCAAAATCGTGTCTGTATCCATTCTAGGGATGTTTTTGATGAGCAGAAATAGAGTGTTGAAAAATACAATGAAATAAGTCAGAGGAAACATCCCCCAGGAGTGTTTCTCGACACTGTGTACAGCAGTCCGGAAATCTTTTGCATGGAATTTATTCATGTTTTTATGCGGATTCTCAGAAAACTCAAACTTACTAAAAGCAATGTTTCATGGGGGACGGTTGATGCATGTTATTAAAGTGAAATTTTATACTAAACTTTAATAAGGTCATGAAATATCAACCTGATATTTCAATGTAAGAGATATTAAAATGGCCTTGAGGTCTCTTAGGTCCCAAACATGAGGGTTAACATATAAAAGACTTATTCAAAGGTCTCATTTGAGATTATTTAAATGCAAAAATAACCAGCCTTTGACATCTTCACATGGGACTTGTCACCTGTCTTTTATTAGGCCTTTTATATTCAACAAGGACACTGGGTTAGAGAAAATATGGCTGATTTATTATAAGACTTTAAAACTGGTACTGTGGATCTCATAGACAGAATGTGTGTTTTGGACGGGGAACACAACCTTCATTTCTTCATGCCGATGTAAGTGTTCCATGTCTTATATTACTGACTAACACTTTTAGAATTAAGAAATAAGTCACGAGAGGAACTGATCTGTGATTTACACCACTATCAGTTATCATGTTGGGTTAGGGTTGTATTGTAGTACTTCACTAAAGCCTTGCTAGACTGAAACTGTGAATTTTCTTCAGTAGAAGAGTAAAGAAGGTTTTTAGCTGAAACCGGGATCCTTGGTGATTCATAAAATGGAAGTCAGCGGCTACGTCACCTTAAGAGTAAAAACAAAAAAAAGGCATATCAAGGAACACAAAATTAATAACATGATTTCTTACAATATATTGAGGTCTTATGAAGCAAAATGATCGGTCTGTGCAAGAAACTGAACATTATTTACAACATTATTACCTGTGATCCAGAGCCTCAGGCAAACAGTCCGGAGTGATGTCCGGTTTGTGAACGAATCATTCTTTTGAACCGGTTCTTCTTAGTGAACTAGATGAACCAGTTCACCGAATCATACTGAATCGTCTGAAACAGTTTGCGGCTCGAGCAGCACAGATCTACAAGTTACTCAATCAAAACTCACTTTCAGACGCCTGACAGTCACTGTGACTAGAAATAAGCCAAAATATCTGTGTATCTGATCCTATGATGAATGAATCATTCAGCTCTCCAGTTCCTCCAACAGACACTGAACTGAGGAAAGAGTTCGACTCGGACTGAAGACCGTTGAGCTGCTGATATGAGCACGCGTGAACCAAACACTTGAAGGAAGGGGTGAAATTATAGTTTTTATGGATTCTTATTGTTTATGTAAAAAGGTGAGTTGATGAAGACTAGTTCATTCACTTTATGTGCTTTAGACCTGACCAAAAGAACCAGTTTGTGGAAAAGAATTGGACTTCCCCGTTTGCCTGAGGCTCTGAATTAAAGGTAATAATAAATGTATATAAATGTAAATAATGTTCAGTTTCTTGCACAGACCGATCGTTTCACTTCATAAAACCCCTATATACTGTATATCGTCAGGAGCCACAGGGATTCATGTTGGGTTCCTTGATATGCTTTTTTTTTTTGACGGTTGTCACACGAGAAGTGGACTGGATGTCTAGAGTGATAGTCAAATCAGATGAAATGGGAAACATTACACCAGTAACTGTACCTAGTAGTACAGTAAGACGTTTGTTGGTGACAATTGAGCTGAGAGGTTTGCCACAAGTTATATTGAGAGGTTTGCCACAAGCTATATGCCGTTAGGGATGGTGATTCCAAAAAAAAAAAAAAAAAAAAAGGGCCGCCACTGTTGCATTTTATGAATCACCAAGGACCACGGTTTCAGCTAAAATCTTCTTTACTGTTCTACTAAAGAAAAAAAGTCACCTACATCTTGCATGGCCTGAGAATGAGTAAATTAACAGCAATTTTTCATTTTTGGGTGAACTATCCCTTTAAAGCAAGTGTATCTATCTACTAAAACCAGAATGATTGTTTTTAAAATGGCACTATAATGGACAGAAAAAAATCTGCCATTTACACACTGGACACATTGAGATCTACTGTATAGACCTTCATTTCACTCTAACTGAACACTGTAAATTTAACAGTCCAGAAAATGTCTGTAATTTCAGAAACAGGAATTGGCGTGTGGGCACAGACACCACAGGACTGTTCACATCTGCAGATGTTTATTACTGTATGACCATAAAAACCTTATTAATGACAAACTGTCCTTTCTGCATTGGTGACTTCATTACTTGTGAGCTGACTTGTAAATTGTTGCCAGTAATGACTGAACCAACAACCCACATTAAAAAGTGTGCACAAGTCTACCAGTATATCTAGAGACCTATGATTTGATTTCTACAATGTAGAAAATGTTGACGGAATTGTGGAATCCAGTCATAAAAATTGAATTTACTGTATAACACGGAATTTGGGAAATTTTTGAAGAATTTTAGATTGACAGAATGGAAAGATTTGTTTGATTTTCATTTAATTAAAAAATTCACTAAATTTCATGCCTTCATTTGAATATCAGAAAAATTTAAACAGAATTTCTGAAAAACAAAAAAAAAAACATAGAGCCCTAATATTGTAAAATAATAATAATAATAATAATAATAAATTTGTTTTATGAATTTAGTTGATTTAAAATTTAATTTAACAATTAAAATGGAATCCAGAATAATTTAAATGGAAAATACAGAATTTGGTAAAAATAAAATGGAACTTTGGGAAAGAAAAAAACAAACAAAACAAAACAAAACAAAAAACTAACCAAAACCAAAACAAAACAACGTGTAAAAAAATGTAACTGTTAAATTGTTGTTAAATTGCATAAGTTTCATGTTTTCAATTAATTTGACATGATTTTAGACATTGCTAAAATGTTATTTAACCATTAAAACATAAAAATTAAATAGAAAAAAAAAACATTTTCATAGGGCTCTATACATCCTAGCCAACACCATTCCCCCGTATACAGTATATACCATAGTTCCCCAAATCATTACAGTCTGTGCTGAAACAGCTTCAGTATCATCACTCACGTGTCTTGCGTCCCGAGTCTTCCACAAACAGAGATGAGATGTCTTCATCCACACCGACCTCGTTTCTAGCGATGCAGGTATAAGCACCAGTGTCTTCATAACGCACACTACCGATGTGAAGCTCACTGCCATTCGCTGAAGAAATACAACAACCAACAGGTAGATGATTCAGTACGTTTCCAGTCTAATTCCTATATTTCCTATGTATTAACACACACACATACACACACCATAGAAAAACGCCTCTAACAAAACCAACAAGCAACTATAGGGCAATAACATAAATCTCAAAAGTAAGTTTGAGGTGTTTGTTTCCACAGCTGACCAATAACATTTTTCATTGACAGAGCTTTGGGTGAAGGCATTCTTAAAGCCCATAAAGGTTTCCCTGTGGTGCAGCTAATACCGTGCCAAGTTATGAAGTCTTGGATTTATTGAGTGTCTGTTTTTTTTTCAGCAGAAATGGTTTCTTTCAAAAATGACCAAAGGAAGGAAAGGTATAAAGTTGGCAGAATGTGAATTTCAAGTTGTTAGTTGACATGAATATTTCACAAACACATAAACTGTAAAAAAATATATTTTGTCAGGTTACCTAAAAATGACATCTAAACTCATTTGTTTTGTTCTGTCATCATATACTCACCCTCAACTTGTTCCAAACCTGTATGAGTTTCTTTCTTCTTTTGAATATAGATTTTTGAAGAAATTAGCATTGTTTTTCAGAGAAATTTGTTTCCTAAATATCTGCAAACATATTATGGTATTTTATGCTTTAGCATAGTCCAAAAATTACATGCAGCAACTTCAGTATTGTTAAATCAATCTATATTAGGTTACACCAGTGAAAGTCATTTTTAAAGGTCATGACGGCACATTTAGTGTTTATCAGACTCATTTCACATATATTCATATACATTCAAGCTCGTCTCACCTTTTTTCTGACAGACAATGAACCTGACTGGATAGTTATACGTGCTAATTACATTATATGAAGCATGTAAAACAGGACAGAAATGTTTTCAGCACGTAGGACAGCCGCTGAGTGTATGAGCGGTGCTGCGGGCGGCTGCTCTCTCACGACAGAACAACACTCTGCAGTCACTTACAGCTCATCAGTGCCCAGCACGCCGTCCCGGTCAGCCGGGGAACACCAGAGAAAAAACCGAGCAGCTCTCAAATGCTGTATTACATGGATTTTGGGACACGAGTGAAATTCAAAGCCTTGTTTACATACTAAATAATATTACCATTTAAATGCAAGCACATAGTAGGTCTAGTTAAAGTGTGATTTTTGAAGGCTGGTTGAGAAGTTTGTGGAAGCGTACACACACACACAGACAGTTACTTTGATGGTGTTTCACTTATATTCTTATCGAGCTTTGATGCTAATTAAATTCAGCCATAAAAACACTGCAAATTACTTTGCTTTCATTAGCAAATGGATTTCATGAATAAATAATTTTTCAGTCATTAAAAAGATCTCCAACAACATTTCTCCATCATTTAGAGATACGTGAGCATCGGCTATAGGATTGTTGTGTCTGAGTCGTGACTGGCCTTTGGTAAAGCGTTTACACAAGGTCATAAATATCAGAGTCTATGGAAATCACAACGAAAACACTGCAGCTGCGGTTACTGATGAGATCACCTTTACAGAGTTATTCATTATGACATCACCTCAAAGAATCTGTGTTTGCAGTAATGACGAGCATGAAGCTAATTTCGCAGCATTAAGGATAAACACACAATCCTCAAATCAAAGCAGCGCTTGTAAACTGAGAAGAGAAGCTGATGTTGTGTGTGTGTGTGTGACGTCTCAGGAAGGCTGCTCTGTGTGTGTGTCGGAGCTTTGTGAAGTTCAGCGAGTTCTCAGATGCTTCGCTCACCTCTGATGGTGTTTTTATCACAGCACAAGTGTCTCTGAATGCTGTCTGTGTCACACACGTGCTTTCATGAGTGTGTCAGAGATCACATACAAGCAGGAGAGTTCACTCTCTCTCTGTCTCTCTCTCTCCTTTTCACTTCACCTTCATTCTCTCATCTCCAGTACTCTACTTTCCCATCCGTCTATTGATCTCATTCTACATACAGACTCAATTCAAACAAAAGCTTCTCACCGCTTGGCAAAAGTTAATACTTTTTATATGGATTTATACTTTCAATGCAGCTGCATATTACTATACCAGGTACATTCATATACTGCAAGTGGGTTATAGATATGAATTAATGGTCACAATTTATTTTAGGGACCAATTCTCATTATTAACTAACTATTAGCAATGACTTTCCCTCAATAAACTCGTAATTTGCTGCTTATTTACAGTTAGTAAGGCAGTTGTTAAGTTTAGGTGTGGGGTAGAATTAAGGGATCTAAAATATGCTCATGCAGAATAAGACATAATTATGTGCTTTATAAGTACTAATAAACAGTCAATATGCATGCTAATCAGTAACTAGTTAATAGTGAGAATCGGTCCCTAAACTAAAGTGTTATCCGAAAAAATCGAAAAACTACTGTAAGTGGCTTTTTGTGTCAGGGTTATGTTTAGTTTTCATTGTGTTTTCAGTTAGCCTGTTCTCCTTTGACCTAGTTTCCCCTAGTTACCCTGATTAGTTCATTCTATTCACCTGTGTTGTATTAATCATCTCGTTTGCTCCTTAGTTTGCCTTCCTTATAAGCCCTCAGTTTCTGTGTCTTCTTTGTCCTGGATTAATGTTGTTGATTTATTGGTGTACATGTGTTGATGCTATTCAGTTCTCCTGTTCTTTGTGTTTGAAGTTATAATTAAAGTCTATTTACGTTTACTTGTTCTTCGAGCGCTTTACTACAACCACGACCCCGTGACATTTTGCTAATTCTAGTAGAATTATAACGCATGCAGCGTTTGTTAATTCAGAGACTTTAAAACATTCAGTTGTCACACTGAGGGGCCGTTTAAAATGTACTAAAGAAGACAAAAAGGTGAAAAAAGAAATGGCCACTATTTCCAGGTCCTGATATTGAGGATATGCATTAAATTCATACAGTTTAACCCCATGTAGTAATGCTGGTAAAAAATAAACCATATTATGCATTTATAACTTATTGAATACTGAACATGTACTGAATGCTGCCAAGGGCATGAACAAAACCTCACAGGGCACAGTTGTGGTCTAGCGTTTTATTAAATCTAAATTTCCTTTGACCATATGCCCCAAAGGTTGATTTTTTTTTTTTACATAAAAACTTTTCCTTTTTTCTTTTTCTTTTTCTTTTTTTCTCCAAATGACTTTTATGTTCAGTTTTATTGTATTTTACTTTCGTCCCGGAGGCAGACTTTCCCTTTTAAACTATGAAAATCCATCATAAAATATGAATGGCAGTATCTTTTTATACTGAGTGCAAATATCCAACCTGGCTGGAAAAGGCTATTTTTTTTTCTAACTCCAAACACCACTGATATTTCACTTTGACTACAAACAGCATACAAGGAGACAGTATGAGTGAAGAGCGACAGCTAAGAAAAGTGTGATGACAACTAAATAAATTAAAGTGAATATCTCTTAATTTATACATTTATGCACGTTTATGCACATTTTTGTGAGTCAAATCTTTGTTTGAAGTTCCCCAGAGATTTTAAGTTAATATTTTAATGATTTAACAACATCTTTGCTTTAATGATCACATGACAGATCTTTTGTAGTGCTCAAGTGTTTTGTTTTAAAATAATGGTGAGACTTTACTTAAAGCCTTAATGTATAATGCATTATATATTTTCAGAAATTGTTCAAATTCATTATAATATTTGAAGTTTTGTTTGTCATGTATTTTAATGCATTATACTTTCTAAAGATGCAACAATAAATAGATAAGTATTATAATGTATTATAGCTGTGATTATAATTATTCATGCGATCATATAATGCATTATAAGGGGCATTACAAGGCATAATCAATGTATTAAAACTACTTTTAATATGCATTATGTATAAAGGCTTAAGACTTGCCAAAATTATTTATTCAGTTTTACATTTTCATGATTCATTTAATTATTAGCACGAACCCCACGTGGGAAACCCGGACGGAAACTATGGATTGTGGCTGTTTACCTTGCATTGTCTATGAGTATAAATCATGAGTCGGTTTTGTGCAACCACCAGTGCGCTTACAAGTCTATCCATCTTTCCATACAGCAGAAAACCAAAATCAGTCGACACAAAATGACACATTGTGTCTCCGCGCTGAGCTAAGCCTGTTATTTGTCATCCCGTGAAAGTGAATTTTTCAGACTTTGTGATGAAATCATCTTTTATCTTGATGCTGAAAATATTTCTGTGGACACGAACAGAAACGGGAGAGCTTGAAAAGGGTGCTTCTGAAATATTAATGCGTGCATGAAAGCAGAGGGAAAAGAAAGCAGACAGACATACCCAATAAACTGCCAGAGAAACACTTAACGATCTGTTACATTAAACCTCCACAGATCAAATAAATAAGCAGAGCTGCTGAAAAACGATGGAGCTGAAACAAATAAATGAGAGGAATGAGACCTTGACGGTCTCGTCTTTTCATACAGAACTTAAGCAGCACAAACATCTGATCCAAATAACAGCTTATTACAGGGTGTAATGGACCGCACTCAACCAATAAAGTGCTTTCTAATAAGGCTCTACTCTGTAAACAATACAGCACCGCTCCAGAATCGAGAGGCCCCTCCAAATGAGCCCATTTGCCTGGGTCCACTATCGTCATTTCATGGACTGCTTTTATTATTATCATCATCATCATCCTTGCAGGGAGCTGCAAACTCACTCCCGCAGCACCAAGGGCTGCCAGCAACGACTGAAACGACAGCTGTAATCCACTGCTGCGTCAGAGGGGTGTACGGAGGATATTTTTCATGTGTTTCACTACATGATCTGCCCATTACACATCTGTCTGTTTATCTACCCGTGCGACTGCCTGCCTTTATCTGCTTCCCGAGAGGAAGGGTTGAGGATCGTACCGAGAAGTGAAATCTGCTTGGATGCGTGCGGCTGCAGGTCCAGGCCGTTCTTCAGCCAGGTGAGTTTAGGGTTTGGAATACCATCTGCATGGCAGCGCAAGCTGGCAGCGACGCCGGGTTCCTGGGCCTGAGTCTCCGGATAGACCAGGATTACTGGAGGCACTGGAAGAGACAGAAGCAGACTGTGAACAACAGAGAAAGTGATTCAAGTCCAGAAAAGCTGCTTTGTTTTGGATTCCCCTCCTTGTGTCAGTCAGAAACGGTCATTGAATGAAATGAACGTGAGGGGATTTGCTTCCCGTATCGAGATTCCTTCCAATTAGACAAAACAAGCTCTCCAACATTCACGCTTATTGTCTCCGTTAATTGAAAATCCTTCCAGTATTTATTATCTCGCAAGTATAATACAGCAAGTTAAACTGGATTGCTATCTTTGTTTCAATACAGCGTTTGTTTATCTCCCTTTATATGCCTCGACGAAGAACGATGCCTTGTAATTGAATGGTTGAATGATCAAAAGGTGAAAACTATTTTCTATTGCAACAATTTCAAAAGGATTGAAAGCAATCAAACGGCTCTTTTGTTCAGTAGCAGTTATTATACTGTATATCAGGGGTTAGTGTTGTTGATACCAAGCCAATACTTAAATTTTAAAAATATAACAATACCAGCCTTTCCACAGTACCGGGTCGTTCTGGTACCTGCTGATAGGCGGCTGCTTTCAAATGCTCCTGTATTTGTGTGAAGAGCATCAAAAGTTTCTATTTACAATGTGATTTTGCAGCGTTGAGCATTGTAGCCAATCACAGACATGTTTGTTGAGCATGTGAAATCAACGGCCAATCAGAAGAAGCTTTTTTAGTTAGAATCTGCTCAATACAGTTTGAGTTTGAGCTTTGCTCGTTCATGAATGGTTCTGTTATAACCAAAAAAATAAAAATAAAAAATGTATTCATTGTGCAGTATAGACCTTGCCCACTTTTTGTGTTATAACCCTTTCATAATTTTAATAAAAGTTTTTCATGCTGCAATGTACACACTGCAAAGTTTCAGGAGTTATAACCGTATTAAAATGTGAATGCATAAAATGTCATAAAAGCTGACAGAGATGATACTCTCAGTATCATGAGAGGATGAGAGATGAGAGACCAGACATAATGAAGTTCTCACACTATTCTTCTGGTATGATCATTTTATTAGCTAAATATCCCAGCGCATCAAGGTCCTAAAAACCAGTGGTGTAGTCCTAAAACAATTAGGAAAGCGGGTTTTTTTTAGCGTTTTTTAATTAATGTGTTTATTTTGTTTATTAGTAATATTTATTTTAATAAACAAACAAACAAATAAATAAAAACAAATAAATGTAGTTCACTCTAAAATTGGTAAAATTGATGCATGGCCTGGTCTGTTGACCGCATTACAATCATACATTATCTATGATTATAATTTAAACATGTTGCTTTGGAATGCAATTTGCTATTGTGAAAAGTGCTTCACAGATAAATCTGAATTTCGTTTTTCTTTTATGCTAATAGTGGGTAGGAAAAAAAAGTAACTTAATACAAAGTAAATGTTTTATTAAATGCTTTGGCTTTAGGACAGTGGCAATATGAATAGTGGCATATTTATACTTATAATATGATGCCTGATATATTTCTCACACATTATTTTTTTTAATATATATATATAAATGTAAAAATATAGCTGATTTTGTAATTTAGGAAGGCAAAAATGACAAAAATCTCCTGCAAAGGGATTATTATACTTGGGGGGTCCTTGGCATAAAACACTTTGAAAAACCACTGATCTGTGCACAGCGCATTCTGTCTCTCTCGCACACAACTAGAGGCATTTATTCCTTTGTTTCAGGATTTGGGAAAGCCACACATATGCAAGAAATTCACATTCACACTCTCGGATGTATAGCAGTTTTTTTAAATTTATATATATACCAAAATTTATTCAGACACCTTCAACATTTCACACATTATCACAGTTTATTCGCTATAGTTTAGAAAATGGTGATAAAATATGACAAGAACACAGAGTTAAACTGTGTCAGAACAAATTCATCTTGATAATCTCAGATAACACTTAAGCAAGACATGGTCAGGTCAAAGTGTCTGAGTAATTTTTGGTCTCAAATGTTTATCAGTTTTACTGGTAGTCCACTGTATGAAGAATTGTTGGGTACAATATATCACAGTTTATTTTATTTTGCTATCCTCACTTACATAAATGAACTATAGTGTCCTACACCCACTAGTAAACAAATATCAAAAATTATATCTGATGTCTGAATAATTTTTGGTCTGACTGTATATATGTGCACTTTTATTTATTTAACCTGGCAATGCTTCACAATGTCTCCACTCACTACCATCTGACTAAAACACAACTGTCATCATGTTTTCAGCAAAGTAACATTTATCGTAACAGTTATTTTACAGTGTCCTTGTTACTCTTGTTACATGGGCTTACTATAGTAATAACAGTAAATTATGCATAGTTACGTGCAATCACCCTAAACCCTAAGTAAGTAAATGTTGTTAATTAATATGACTCATTACTTAAATGTACAATTACACTGTAACAAAGACACCGTAAAATAAAGTAACCCATTTAACTTTAGCAACAATATGAAGGTGAATATCAATGCTTGTAAAACCATATATGTGACCCTGGACCACAAAACCAGTCTTAAGTGTAAATTTTTCGAAATTGAGATTTACACATCATCTGAAAGCTGAATACATAAGCTTTCCATTGATGTATGGTTTGTTAGGACAATATTTGGCCGAGATACAACTATTTGAATATCTGGAATCTGAGGGTGAAAAAAAAATCAAAATACTGAGAAAATCCAAAGTTGTCCAAATGAAGTTCTTAGCAATGCATATTACTAATCAAAAATTAAGTTTTAATATATTTACGGTAGGAAATTTACAAAATATGTTCATGGAACATGATCTTTACTGAATATCCTAATGATTTTTGGCATAAAAGAAAAATCAATTATTTTGACCCATACAATGTATTTTTGGCTATTGCTACAAATATACCCCAGCGACTTAAGACTGCTTTTGTGGTCCAGGGTCACATATATCTATAGGTACAATACACTCTAAAAAATGCTGGGTTGTTTCAACCCAACTTTGGGTCAAATATGGACTAACCCAGCTATTGGGTTAATTTTTTTAATTAAAATTTTAACCCAAAAGTTGGGTTAGTCCATATATGACCCAAAGTTGGGTTGAATTTTTTTTAGAGTGATATGCATCACATGACTAAACACGTATCATCATTTTTGAGTACCTCTATTTTCATAGTCCTCACTACAACATGAAATGTATCCACTTGGGAGAGCATCTGTCAGTTTCTTAATAATAATCTTTTACATAATGTCTGGTTTCTTACACAGAACGATTGTTTTGCTTCATAAGACCTCAATATATCGTCAGGAGCCACGGGTATTAATTTTGTGTTGTCTGATATGCTTTTTTGACTCTCAACGTGACGGTAGCCGTTGACTTGCATTTTATGAACCACCAAGAAGTCTTTACTGTTCTACTGAAGAAAAAGTCACCTACATCTTGGATGGCCTGAGGATGAGTAAATTAACAGCACATGTTCATTTTTGGGTGAACTATCCCTTTAATGCAACGCACATGATATGACTGCCACGCTTGGCATTTACCTTGCTTTCATTATTACTGGTGTTGGGGAAAGTTACTTTTAAAAGTAATGCATTACAGTTTTGTGTTACTCCCTAAAAAAGTAACTAATCGTGTTACTTAGTTACTTTTTATGGAAAACTCATGTTACTTGTAATGTGTACACTGCTTATTACAGTAGTTAAATTGTATAACTTGGACACTATTGAAAACGAAGATACACTGCTTCACAACTTTTAACAGACATTACAACAACAGTCCATGAAAGCAAACATATATGAAAGATTCTACTACTAACCATTCACCTGGAGCACGTGGGTCTGGAACAGCTCCTCATAGCCGTCCGCGTGACAGCTGTAGTTCCCCATGTGAATCGTAGTCACCTTAGTAATGTAGAGCGAGCCGTCGTCGCCAAAGTCCTAATTGAATGGGAAGAAAGAGAGAGAGAATAAAACAGCAGGAAGTCACAGGATGAATAGACGATGCATCAGCGGCGTCCCATGAGCGCGCGGGCGCAGGGGTTTGTTCCTCACTGTCGTGTTTTCTCAGGCTGATAAATGGTAAGGGTTAAAAATATAGCCAGCTTTAGCGTGATTAATGAAGCCGGTTGTGGTTTTGTGAGGATGCATCCCCTCATCTGGGGCTTTGGGCCGACTCAAGGGGGATTAAAACATTAAACTGTTTTGTAGTTATATGAGTTTGCAGAGGGTAAATGATTTAAGGACACAAAAACTCGCTCTTAAACCCTAACACACCTGCAGCTTTATAGGGCGCGCTCTGAAAAGGGCTCGACTGCCGTACTGGGAACAAAACAGCGATTTGTTTGTTTAGGAGGTCGTCGCTAATCCAGCGAGATGGATGATCAGCTCTCGTAAAAACACGACTTTGCCTCCGAGTGCTGAAGTTTTAGGATAAAGAGGGCAGAAGTGACTCTCTTCCAAGGACATGATGAAACCCAACGACAAAAACGAATTACTTTTTTTTATTAAACAAAGATTATGTGACTGATAGTACCTCACCTCTGCCATAAGGCAGATGTTATGCCTCATAAGGAGGACTCGTAGCGGTTTTCATCACTGGAGCTGTATTGGCTGCCACTTTCAGATGAAATCTAATTACGAGTTTGTCATTCACTTTTTGAAATCAATTGTAAGATAATGTCTTGAGATGAGGTTTAACCGAAAGAATAGCACCAGAACTATACAGTTAACAAGCCACTAATTCAAATGACTGGAAAACACAAAGATACAAGGGAAAGTTAGCTGCCATCGGTTTTGGAAACGGCAACATTTCCACTCTGAAATGAATCAGAGATAAGTGTTTGTCGCACAACTGTGCCAATTCATCTCTAAGGAGATTAAGACATACAATAAAGGAGCCATCTGACACGGTTTAAACTAATAAACCATTAGACATGGCATGTTTTTTGGTAATGCATTGAAGCACCGTATAAATGGTATATGAATATGATAATCATCTGAACCCATCACTGCACCACGGCCTGTACATTAATATTATTGAAAGTTATTTAGTATTAATACTAATACTATAGTATTAATAAAACACATGAAGTGAAAGTAAATGAGGATGGAATGATACAAGCCTTAATAGAATATTGTGGGGTTAAGATGTGAATAATCAACAATTGCCATATTCATACACCATGATATTTACATGATACTGCACAAATGCAACAAGGTATTAGTAAAACACATCATAAAACATTTCTTGTGCAAACTTCAGAGCAAAGAGAATAAAAAGCAAGAATTAGGGAGAATATATATATATATAAAGCAAATTAAATTAATTATGTACATGTATACTCCACATGTCAATATGGAAGCCCATTTCTGCCTTGGAATCAAAAAAAAAAAAAGCTAATTGCGACTTTTTATCTCATAATTCTGACTTCTTCTCGCAATTCTGAGTTTACATTTCAGAATTCTGTCTTTTTGTTTCCGCCACAGAATAATAATAATAAAAAAAACGTTTTATCTCAGAATCCTTTTTTTTTTTAAATTGCAAGTTTATATCACAATTCAGACTTTTTTTCTCAGAATTGCAAGAAAAAAGTCTGAATTGTGAGATGAAAATTTGCAATTACCTTTTTATTTTTCATCCTGCTAAGGAAAAAAGCATTTGTATGTCAAACACATAAATACACACACACACACACACACACACACACACAAATCATATACAAAATCAAAAAAGCCATTTACTACTGAAGCTGGTAAAAGCGTTATATTGGCAATATCCTCCACTAAATGCTTCTGGAGGAGCTGAGGTGCATTTGCACACTTCTCCTCACTTCAGATCACACAACAGACTGCAGATTGAGGTCAGGACTCGGGCTTGGTTTTTCTAAAATTAAGAGCTACTTCAGTTTGATCTCTCAGCAGTTCATTTACTCCCGTGTCACTGCTGTGTTGTAAGAGCCGTCCTGTGCTGAGTTTTACAGTACACCACACAGTTGTACAGCATACCATTTATAGTGTTAGATCAAGTCTCCATGTCAGAAATTTCAGATCCGACACCGGACACCAGTTCCTGCCACAAGATATCTGTTTTGTCTCATATCCAAAACCCAGTCAGCAAAGTTTGTCTGACATCCAAGCCCGTTAACAGCAAGTCTTGTCTGGTACTCAAAACCAGTGTTCTGTCTGGTACCCAAAACTGTATTAACAGTCTTCTATCAGCCAAGAAGTTGAGTGAGAAAACCAGAGAAGAGCAGAAGCAGGAGACGAAGCGTTGATAAAAATGAGCATGCTATATTGACAAGTGCGACAGAAACCGACAAATACTGAATGCACCCAAATTAATCCACAGCATTAAACCACACCATATGCCTCAGTTTTAAAGATCAGTCAACAGTGAGAAATCATGTAGAGTAAACTCATCTTTTCCCCTTGGACGGTATAAATGATCTGTCTGAGGATTCAGAGCCAATCAATGCAAAAGACCTGTTCCTCACAATCAAAGCACAATTACACATGCTGATGCTTCGTTTTCTGGCACAAGACACAATCGTGTATTTATTTAGGTTCCCATTTTGTCTGGACCGTGTCAGTCTTCCGATTCTTTCTCTGGCTGCTTATGAAGCTGAATGTGTCATTCAGCACTCTTCACCTGTGCTCGTTCTCGTTGACCCACACGTCGTTGTTGACTTGGGTCAGTGTTGCAACATTCAACAAACCCTTCATTAACATGCAATTAGAGTATTGTAATGAGCGAGCACGTAAACACAACCCCATGCTGTCAGGAACGCAGGTGAGCTAAACACAAGCGTGACACACCTCATTAAGCACCCATTCCCATCCTGAGCATGTCTGCTTCTCAAAATCTACACATGATTTGCAGTCCCTTGAAATCAGCATGGCTCCTGGCCCAACTCCTGAGACCACGATCATTATGTTCTTTCCAATTACATCATATGAAGTGCAGAAACACAAATATGGTTAGTAATTGGAAATGGAAAGCGTGTGTCCTGATAATGAACATTAACATTTGTAATTTGTGTCGGCATGAGCTTCTATTCTAGAACATACTGATTAATTGGTGAAAATCAATGCAACTGGACCCTGACTGAGCTTTGTGTTCTGGATGATTATCAGATATTCAGCAGCTGCCCAATTAACAGGAGGATGTAATCATTTCACATCAGAAAAGAAGCTCTGCAGGGTTCCTCACCTTGAGAAGGTGTTCTCAGCACAACATTCCCTTATAATCCAGAATACTGTGAAAGCCTCACATCACGCAGGATGCATAAGTTATGCTGTCGCAATAAGCATATATATGGGCCTAAAATTAAGATTTATGTATTTGAATTACATATTTGGATTACACGGTTTTAACAAAGTAATAAACTTAAGCATATTTGTCAATCATACATAAATGAAACGAGTCTGATTTCTGCACTCAAAAAATCATGGCAGGAAGATGAACTGTGTCATTATTTGTGCAGCTCAGTTTGGTGATGATAGTGACTTTAGCTTTGAAGTTATGCTTTTTAATACGGAACTCACACTTTAAAATTATTATTATGTTTTTGGTGTTTAAAAATTTCCTCCATGACAATTTGTTGATGACACTTAAAATATGAGCCAGTTGAAGTAGTGGTAAGATTTATGCATTTCAAAATAAAATAAAATAAAATAAATACATATTTTTTGCATCTGCAGTATTTGTTTTTATTTAAAACAAAAAATTGTAAATTAAATTACATTGTGAAAACAAGTACATTATTCATTGGCCCAGATCTGTAAAAAACAAGCAATATTTAAGGAGTTAAAATGTTTAAAATGTGAGTTTGAATCCAATTTGGATTTGATAAAATCAATTTAGATTGATGATAAATATATAATCATAGTTAATGTGTATTTAAAACATTCAATTTATAAGTACTATTACAGAAATCTTACCTGCATCTTAACTGCTTTTTTGTATGTTAAATTTATGTATGTTTGACAAATATGTATCACATCAAGTTTATTAGTTTATGTTTAAACTGTGTAATCCAAATGGATTGAAATTTTATAAGCAATTCAAATACGTGAATCTTTTGTCAGACAACCAAAACATGTGCTTCATGAGATCTATATAAACTATAAGAATACCGGTCAGTATTTCATGCAGGGGAGACCGGGGGTTAATTCTCTAGCAGTGAGTAATCATGTCGTTTTCAAAACCCTCTTAAATTACACACAATGCTATTGGGGCACGTCGTCACAAAGGTTCAAAGACTTCTCAGCGAACTGCATCTTTATTCTCAGACATAATGGTGTTGTTCAATAGTGTGATATCGAAGTACTCACATTTATATCCTCTAGATCTAGGAAGTTGAGGATGATGCCGTTCCTCTTCCAGATGATGGGCGGTCTCAGTGTGCCCTGAATGGCACAGGACAGCACAGCGCTCAGGCCGACGGTCACTGTTGTGATGCTCAGACGCTTGTCATCGGCTAGACTGAGCTGAACGACCTCTGCAAGACAAAACAACATTATTGCAATTTAGTTAGCCCATGCATTTACATGTTTTACCTGAAAAATGCTATGTAATTTATATCTGCTTTTTATTTATTAAGGTGCTTGAATGTTAAAATGCTTTCTGCTGTTTCAGTTTAATATGCAGAGTGAGGCTATCTTTCTGTGACAATAGCGATGTGTTGTTGATCATGAATGATTTGTTCATTTTGAACAAATCCTTTAATGACTCTCGAGTAACGAGCGGTCTCAGAGAGTGATTTTTTTTGTGTGACCGCTCAGACAAAACTAAACAATTCTGTTTCCTCTACACATGACTCTGCAATATTATTATGAATATTGTCACACTATAAAGCTAACAAACCTGCTTTAAGGCAAGTGCGCATTGAGGAAAACAAGCTCCTGGACTAGGAGACTTGAATAAAGATTCATTCATTGTGCTGAACAAGATTCAAAGATCCAGGTCAGTAGAATGATCCAATCTTCCCATTACTAGACACCATCAAAACATTGATCGGATTGTTTGCAACACTAGATGCGTTTACATGAAGCATATTCCGGTTACAGTTGGTTTAAAAGTCCAATCTGAATGAACACCTCCATCAGAATAAAAATGCCCAAACCGATTGAAATTTCAATCAGAATCTGAATTGTCTTAATGGTTGAGATTCTACGGCCGCAACATTTGTTAAACTGTTAATCGTGATTATTTTGCTAAAAATAAATAAATAAAATGTAAAGAAATATATCCTGGTTATTGTCATTTTAGAATTTTTTTTTTTTTTTTTTGCATTTCGTCTGAATTATTGCACTTTCACATAAGCACAAATCAAGAAAATGTCAACTTGCATGATTTGCTTGCAGATTTAGTTGCAGCGAACAGAGCAAATGTTTTGAGCAGAATATTTCAATAGAGATCCCTAAACATGGTTGCCAGGTCAGGAAGATGAAGTAAACCTCTGGGCAGAAAAGAAATGCTCTGATTGGGGGATTTAAAATCTTGATATCTTGTGAACGCTTGTGAAGATGTGTTACCAATGCAGGATAACGCAAATGCCACATTAAAATGAAATGTTTCAGGATAAATAACCAGCAGGCAAATACTGTATTATTCCAGCTTCGCACATTCTTTTTTATCAACACTTGAATGTGGGTAAGTTTCAATAAAATAAATAAATAAATAACAAAAAGCTGAGAAAATTGCGTTTTGTCCAGAGAGGATTCAGAACAATGAACAAAACATTGATGGAGTAGAGTAGAGTTCATCAACACCTCTAAAGCTGCACAGTCCTAAACCACTTTCTGGATCGACATTTCATTCGGTAACATTAGGCAGTTTTGACTTACATGCTGTTTAATGTTTGATGGTGGCATTATTTTACATATGCATCTTCTTACATACGCGATCCCTTGTTTCTGCTGCTTCTTCGCCTGTGTTTTGATCCAGAGATTCTGTACTCTCTTAGAAGATGCATAATAGCGCCCCCTACTGTATAACAGTGAAAACACGGAAAGAAAGAATTCCGTCAATGCCAGGGAAAGAGTTATCAAATCGAAAGAAGCAGAAATCTCGATCACAATTAAAATGTGATTTATACCTATTTGATTTCACACTATTTTCCATCATTGCCTCTGTTAATTTCATGTTTATTAATATGAGCTGCTTTGACACAGTCTGTCTTGTATAAAGCACTATAGAAATAAAAGTGAGTTGACTTGACTTGATGAGGCATTCGATCATTTGATGAGCAGTCCATCTGAGGTGTGTAAACGATAACGGCCCAGACACCGCAAATGTCTCCGACTGACCTCGGGTCAATAACAGTCTGGCTTTCAGATCAGTCATTTCACAGCTAGCTTGAAAATAACAGTGTTGGCGTGCTGACAGTGACTCGAACGCTCGTGTCCATTTGCATTCTGCTGCAGTGGACGCTCTCTGGCACAAACATGTTGTTTGCATGATTTCCTGACAGTTACAGGTGGGTTTAATTCTTTCAAATGAAAAGAGGTAATTTAGGTGATGATGAAGCACTGCGGAGCTGAACGCATTGATTTGTCCTGGTTAGAGGGAAAATGAGTTCCTGCACCTCCCTGTCAAATTGCAGCCATCAGATCTGAAAATGCAGCAGGTGCAAGAGGAGGAACGGCCCGTCGCTTTAGACATGTGCACCACTGCAGCCAATGCACAGACAGGACTGTTCACTAACAAAGACTTGTGATCCACTGTGATCCAGACACCTGTGAAAGCTGAGTGTGAGCCCGACTGCGCTGCACGTCTGTTAGAGCGCTCTTCTCCATCACTTCATCATTCTTTAGTGAAATTCTGCTGCTGAGATCGCTAGATAATGTCCTTAAACACATGTGTCTTTGACACTGAATTCTGTTGACTTGCTGTTTCTAATTCTGACATTTGTGAAAAAGACTCAATATGTAATAATCCCTATTTAACAAGTTCAGGACTGACTGCCAAATGCAGGCATTTTTAACTCCATAAAGGTACTGCATCATATTTGACATGCAAAATCTAATACATGCCTTCTGTTGTCTGATTGAGAGTTTATGCTTTTTAGCAAATAAAAGGTCTATATAATTTTACAAACATCCAACTTCAGCATACGCTTCATGTGTCTTTTTGCTGTGAAATCTTTACAGCTTCGCTTTACTTGGTTATCCAGACATTATTTTTTAGAAAAATCAATTAGTCTCAAATATGATCATCACAATTTATTTGTTCATCTCTCAATCATCATTGTATTGCATTACATTATAAGTTTTGGTCATAAAACTAAGCATTAAATATCATCTTACTAAGACATATTATTGGAGATATAGAGTGACGACTAATATTTAAATAATTTTATGTAAGTATCTGCTAAGTATCTCATTGATTTACATTAAAATCATCAGAATTCCATCTTATTTTCTGACCATATAAATAGCAGCATCTCCACCAATTTGCATATTTTTACTCAGTTTGGGCCTCTGACTGAAACCTTTTCAAGTATAAGAATCATATTATTCTACTATATATCACACCATATGAGCCATAAAAACCTGATGTATCAAATATGATCTTTTTTAGAATTTTATTTTATTTTTTTAAATATTTGTTAATATAAGTGGTCAATAAACTCCATTTCAAATTCTGTCAAGATTTACAAGGTTAAGTAAATTTCAGAAACTTTGAGAAATCTTGAAAAGCTTTCTCTCTGGTCCAGTGGTAACAACTACATTACAGTCATGAGAGAGAACAGTTCAAAAACGACAGCATAACTAAATGCAGCACCTCATTATTACATCCCCAGGTGATGATATTTCTTTTGTCAAATATAACTTACACCAAACCAGTGTGTACGTAGCCTTAGAATAGCACATCAGAGGAGGAAGTTTTACAAAAGCGAAGACAACTTCTCCTCACAGGAGTCTAAAAGTGAATGCATCCATGCATCCGACTCAGCCCTCAAACCCTAAACAGCTTCACATTTTACAGCAAATATAAAACCTAGCATCTCCCTTTCAGGATTCAGCAGATGCCTCGTCGCTGTGCTTCTCATTTTTAGCCTCCAGCAATAAAAACACTTTCCTTTTTCCTGGCACCATGTTGATTTTCCCCAGCAGAAGAGGCCTGGTTTGAGATTGTTTACCACACACGCACACACACGCACACACACGCACACACACACACACACGCGCACGCGCACACACACACACTAGTCTCTGAGGCAGAGATGCAGACAGACGGATGACATATCCATTGCCCATGGCGGTCCTCCCGCTGGATAGGGTTGACATGACATTATCTCTGTAATGACTCTTTGTGTTCCCCTCTCGCCTAAAAATAGCCCCTCCACACAAGTAATTGACTTGCCCAGGATTTGCAAACTATTGATCCATCAAAGCTGGGTTTTATTGCCGGCACCAGCCAAAGGCGAGAGCACTCATTTCTCACCTAAATGAAAGCATCCTGCAGGGTTTTTTAGACAAATGCTAAGCACACTCAAAGTGCATCAACAGCCAGAGCGTCTTTATATATGACACTATAAGAGATGAACTTCTTTGAACAGCTCTCCACAGTGGCACTACGGCTCAGCTTCTGAGCAGCTGATAATGCTAATGTTCTGTTTACAACTGTGTGCTTGTAGTCTTATTCGGACGGGATTAGTTTTACATGGAGCGGTGGGGTAAAGTATCTATTGTCAGAGCTTCTCAGTGATTTTAGTCCCGTCCAAATGTGCCATTTCTGTAAATATATAGCCTACGTAAATATTCCAGAATTTCTTTTGCACAAAACAGTCGTGGCCTAATGGTTAGGGAGTTGGACTTGTAATCCAAAGGTCGTGGGTTCGAGTCTTGGTGCCAGCAGGGATTGTAAGTGGGGGAGTGAATGACCAGCGCTCATACCATGGCTGAGGTGCCCTTGAGCAAGACACCGTCTTCACACGTGCTGTGGCGTAAATATAATTTATTCTAAAGCAATATTTTTCATCAGTGTTCTGTCAGCTCTTGCTTACCTAAATGTGCATATTTGTGATAATTGCCCTTTAACTCTTTCCCCGCCAGCATTTTTTTTTCATGATAAAAGCAACATTTTGAACAAAAAATTGAGAAAATCACGTTTTTTGTAAAAGACTACATCTGGATCGTTTTCAGATTGATGATCAAAACGCAGATGGAGTAGATCGCTTCCATCAACATCCCCAAAGCTGCACAGTCCTAAACCACTTCCTGGATCATCATCTCATTTGGTAACGCTAGGCAGTTTTGATTTATATGCTGTTTAATGCTTAATGATTGCGTTATTTTACATATGCATCTGCTTATATACGCGATCGCTTGTTTCTGCTTCTTCCTCGCCATGTTTTGATCCAGACGTTCAGTACTGTTTCAGAAGATGCATAATAGCGCCTCCTGCTGTACACCAGTGAAAACACGGAAAGCCGGAAAATTCTGTCAATGGCAGGGAAAGAGTTAAATTGATTTCCAAGGCATTTTTTTTTGC